GGGAAAGAGCGATTATTTTTCTTCTTCCCAGAGCCAGGATGAGATACCTGAAATGGTAGATCGAAGCCATGGAGAGAGATCGGATGTGTTGTGGCTACCAATCCACCACCACTTTGATGTCTCCTTCTCCATCGTCACCTTCTTCAATATTCCTCACCCAATACAACATACACAATTTCTCATTATCTCTTTCCGTTCAAAATTCCATTAGAAAACCCACTTCTACTCGCATATAAACCATTCTTCTCATTTTCGATAACCCATTAGCAACAAAACACCAAACAGAAAGAGAGCAGAACTGACACTGACTCCGAAATTACCAGAGATTTTTCACGGCTGTGTGTTGAGCGAATGTAGAAGCAGATAAAACGGCGTCGTATCTCTCGTCGTCTCCCTCCTCCGTTGTCCCTCTCGTCGTCGTCTCTCTGTTTCTGTGTTTCTCTTGTGGTCAGTGTTCTTGGACGCAGTGCAATTTTAAAGAGCCTACGGCTTCTTTACTTAGTTTGTCTTTTTCCTATCTGAACTAGCCAATCGCATGTCACCACGTGTCCAGAAGAAGCAGTACACAGATTTCGCAACGAATTTACTATCTTGCCATCCGCTATGAAGCGGCGGATGACATGGCGGCGTGATTACTGGTTCCCCTCTCAAATTACCTTTTCACCCTTTCACAGATTCATCTACGAATTAGAAAAAAATTATACGAGATTTCGATATACAATACGATTCGATCATATTAAACCTATTATGTGCTAAAAAAATATATGTATTTATTCGTACAATATTTCATTGTATTTTCAGTCCATTTCGTTATTGTTCGTTAAAGTATGAGTCCTCAAAAAAACTTTTTTTAAATAATTAGAAAATGAGTTTGATGAAGGGTAGATTGGGAATATCTTAATTTATGGATAGAGAAAACGTCCAAGTAGGGCCCACATTCCGAAGTGGGCCTCCGGGAGCGTGTCGCGTAAAGGGAATTATGCAACGGTCGGAAAATTTCTTAGGTGCGGAGACAAAAATTGTCAATTGTTTTTTCTTTCAAATAAGACAACTAATATTTATTTGCAAGAATCTGTTTACTACAAATTAAATGCCAAAAAATCTGTGTTGACCAATCTCTTGTTATTTTACTATTATTATTACCATACTTGTTCCTCACTATAAGTAATTTGGGTAAACGCGTATTTCAATTTGGAAAATCCAGATTATTTCTTTATTTTGGTATAACAATTTATTACTATGACCCTGAATTTTTGTTTTTTCTTTTAATTTGCACGGGGGGAAGGATGTTGGGAAATACGTACATGAACTGGGCCTCATTATGATCAGCCCGTAAGTCCAGCAGAATAAAAGTATTGGGCCTTATGGTTTTTTCAAAATTCATTTAATAATATAACAAAAGGTGGATTAATTAATTGAAGAAATTCAATGAGTTCAAAGAGTCGTTTGCGTTTCCTCTTTGATCGAGGGGTTTCCTGTTCTATTTACAAGACCGAACAGTCAGTCTCTCTTCGTGCTCACTGTCTCTTCCTCTTCCTCCGTTGCTTTAGCCCTGTTTTCTCTTGGATAAAGGTGGGTTCTTTTTTGTTTTTTGAAAGATAAAGCTACGTTCTTTTATAATCCAGAGTTCTCTGTTGTTGATCGTAGACCCTGCGTACTCTGTAATGATCTTCTTCTTCTTTTTTCATTGGCCGCTAAATTTTCATGTCTGTAGTGATCAGTCGTTCCTGTTGCAAGTTTCTGATATTTTTGTTCTTGTTTTAGTAAGATGTTTCTTCCCGCCAAATGGGTTTCGCAATGTGGGTGTTTTTTGTTTGTTTGTTTGTAGAGTTCCTTGTTGATGGTTTTGCGTTTTGTCAGTGCCGTGTTTGGATACCGGGACAACACGAGTTAACCGTTGTTTCTTCATTCAGATCAGATGTTAGAGTTGATTCTTTGTTAAGCTTGTGAATCGTGAAGTAGAGGAGGGTCTGGTTTAGTGGTGCCTAGCTGAGAATTTTAAGGCCCAACCTGATATGGAGCCGGTAAATCTGGGAAGAAAAATATAGGGTTTGTGGTTATAATGGAGTTCTTGTCCTTTGGTGTAAATGATCGTACTGCGCTTTGAACAAGTTTTCCTTGTGGTTTTCAGGTTATCCGGTTTCAGACATGCCTTATGTTCCTCCACATAAGCGTCATTCGAATGAGCCTGTCAGGCCCTCTCCTGTTCCTGCATCTGTTTTAAGCAAGTTCAGCAGAAATCTCCATTTGGGTGGTCGCAAGAAAACCAATGAACAACCCGCAAGAATAGTATATGCAAAAGATCCCATCTGGAGATGGTTTTATGTTGGTTCTGATGGAACTGAAGACGAGATTCCTCCATCTGTTAAGCTTGTGCCTGTTTCTATAGATTCTTCTGAATGGAGAGATGGAAGAAAGCCTTTGGTGCTGGTGAACACTGATGTTGGAGAAAGAGATTCAAAGATTGGTGCAACCGTGGGCAGTACACCCTGGTTGTCAGTGGCAGAAAAGGTAGAGGATGACATTTTCTTGGCATTTGAGCTGGCTAAGGGTGGTATGGGCCATGATGGTTCATGGATGGAAGTAAAACCAAGATTGGTTGCTCGATTTGGAAAAATTCTATTCAACGAGCACCCTTCATTTAGTTTGGAAAGTTTGAAAGATGGGCTAGTGCCTGAAATAACAGTGATGAGATCAAAGAAGTCATTTTATGCAAATGTCCCGGCTTCTTACATGGAAAACATCAGGAATGCAGCTGTGCTGAAGTTAGGATTTCGTATGGAAGAGAAGGATATATACTATGTGATATTATCTGATGAAACGCGTCCTGGTTCAGCCATCTCTTGCAAATGCACTGTGAAGGAAGATAAAAGGCTCAATATGTACAGGGTCGAGGACAAACCTTTGAGGAATTGTGTTGTTGATATCTCGTGCCTTGATCATAACGTGGACTTGAGACTCATGGTCTACTCAAAAAGACAACCGCCTACTCGAACTGACAGTGAGCTTTGTGATATTAGAAAACTGATTGACTCAGCTGTTATCGATCCGAATGTGAAAGGTGGGTTGCGGTGGCCACTTGGGATGGCTTCATCAGGCGGCCGGTATAGCGTCTGTGTCGTGTGGCACCATGTCATTACTATATACCGAGGCCCAACTCTCAGGCTCAAGGTCAGAGAGGCTGACCGCTTTGATTTTACGACTGGAACGGGTGAAGCCGCAAGGGAGGTGAATTTGGTGCTCAAAGGAATCGGCCAAAAGCTAGAGGAAGAGGAGGTTGAGAGGAGCTCCGTTTCAGACATGCTTAAAGATGTTCTGAAGCTGATATGGGATCACTTCTTGTCTGCTGATCCATATCTGGTCTGATCGGCATCAAAGTTTGTGGTGTTTGCTATTTTGTTGCCCTCCTTTTTGGACTTTAATTTCCAAGTTCTTGGGGATGTGAGTTGTTGCTGAACTTGTGTTTTCTGTTTTCCCCTTCCAAGTTCAGGTGTGAGAACCGTCATGTGTGTTTTGGACGATTGTGTTTATTGTTCTTTGTAATGTTCAAGTAAAGTCTTGAGGCTTTCATCCCGATCTGGCCCGATCTCAGAATTTTTTAGGAAAAAGATGGATTGCGGAACAAGTAACTGGAGAAAGGGAAAAGGAGAAGAACCCTAGGTTGTACTTAGGGTTTTAGGGAGGAGAAGAACCCTAGGTTATTATTAATTAATATTATTATTATTATTTCCCCCCACATGGGTAAACATGTAATTTATTTTGGAGAATCCAGATTTTAACATCTTAATTTAGATATTAGCAATTTCTTATTTCTTTGTATTTCTTGTAATTGCATTGGGCCAAGTTTGGAAATACATACATGAACTGGGCTTCAGGCCATTATGGTCAGCCCTTAAATCCATTACATTTGAAATATTGGGCTTTTGGGTATTTAGAAATTCAGAACGCGAAGCCTAAAGCCCAAATTGGAAACTAAAAAAAAATCAAATTATTGTTATATATAATAATAAACATTTGGATTAATTCGAGTTGAGGGAGGCGGGTTTTCTTTTCTCCTTTGATCGAGGGGTCCTCTGTCAGTCTCTTCCGCTTCTCCCCTGTTTCTCTCTTGCTTCAGCTCGATTTTCTCTTCGATTCCAGGCCCCTTACGTTGCTAAAGGTGGGTTCTTCTTCTTCTTTTTAATTAAAAGATAAAGGTATATGATCTTGTAAAATCCAGAGTTCTCTGTTTTTTTCTTGGTAGACCTTTGCGTTCTCTGTAATGATTTTGTTCTTCTTTTTGCCTTGGCCGCTGAATTTTTCATGTCTATAGGTATCCGCCAATTTTGTTGCGAATTTCTGGCTGTTGTTTCTTCTCTTCAAATGGGTTTCGTCACGTGGGTGTTCTTTTGTTTGTTTGTGGAGTTCTTGTTCTTGTTCTTGTTGGTGGGTTTACATTTTCTTTCTCTGCCATGTTTGGTTACTGGGAAAATACGAGTTAAACGCTGCTTATTCGTTTATATCGGATGACAAGAGATGATTTTTAGTTAAGCTTGTGAATCGTGCAATGGAGGAGTCTCTGGTTTAGTGGCGCCTAGCTGAGAATTTTACGTCCAAACTTGATATAGGGGCGACAAATCTGGGGAGAAAAATATAGGGTTTATGGTCATAATGGATTTCTTGTCCTTTGACGTAAACGATACTGCGTTTTGACCCATGTTTTCCTGATCATGTTCAGGTTATCCGGTTTCAGACATGTCTTATGTTCCTCCACATAAGCGTCGTTCGAAAGAGCCGGTCAGACCCTGTCCAGTTCCGGAATCTGTTTCAAGGAAGTTTACTAGAAATCTCAACTTGGATGGTCGCCAGAACACCAGTGGCCAAGGCAGAAAAGTAATATATGCAAAAGATTGCATCTTGAAGTGGTTTTTAGTTGGTTCAGATGGAATTGAAGATGAGATTTCTCCGTCTGTTAAACTTGTGCCTGTTTCTTCAGATTATTCTGAATGGAATTGGAGAGATGGAAGGAAGCCTTGGGTGCTGGTGAACAACGATGCGGGAGAAAAGGATGCAGAGATTGGAGAAACCGTGGTCCGTACTCCCTGGTTGTCAGTTGCAGAAAAGGTGGAGGATGACATTTTCATGGCATTTGGACAGGTGAAGAATGGTATGGATCATCCTGCATTGGAGGAAGTAACACCCAGATTGGTTGCTCGGTTTGGAAAGATTCTTCTCAATGGGCATCCATCATTTAGTTCGGAAAGTTTGAAAGGCGGGCTAGTGGCTGAAAGCACATCGAGGGAATCAAAGAAGTCATTTTGTACAAATGTCCCAACATCTTATATGGAAAGCATCAAGGATGCAGCTGTGCTGAAGTTAGGATGTTGTATGGAAAAGAAGGATATATACTGTGTGATATTATCCGATAAAACCCATCCTGATTCAACCATCTCTTGCAAATGCACTGTGAAGGAAGATAAAAGGCTCGTTATGCACAGGGTCGAGCTTAACGCTTTGAGGCATTGTGTTGCTGATGTCTCCTGCCTGAATCAGAATATAGACATGAGACTCATGGTCTACTCCAAAAGAATACTGACTGCTCTCACCGAAAATGAGATTTGTAATATTAGAAAACTGGTTGATTCAGCGGTTGTAGATCCAAATGTGAAAGGTGGGTTGAGGTGGCCGCTTGGGGAGGCTGTATCAGGGGACCGGTACAGCGTCTGTGGCGTTTGGCACGTCATAAATACTGTATACCGCAGTTCAACTTTCAGGCTCAAGGTTAGAGAGGTAGACCGGTTTGATTTTAGGGCTGGAACTGGTGGGGCTGCAAGAGAGGTGATTCTGGTACTTAAAGGAATCAGCCAAAAGCTAGAGGAAGGTGGTGAGGTTGAGAGGAGCTCTGTTTCAGACATGCTGAAAGATGCTCTCAAGATGATATGGGATCACTTCTTGTCTGCTGATCCATATTTTATGTAAACTGTACAGAAGTTAGTCGGGTCTGACCTTTTGTTGCTTTCTTTGGACATTAACTTTCAAGATCTCCGGGATGTGAGTAGTTGAACCTGTGGTTTCTGTTTTCCATGTTACGTTCTTTGTGGTGTTTTGAGGGAAAAAAAAATGATTGAACACGACCATTACAGGTTTCGGGTGATTGTGCTTTTGAGCTTTTTACATTTCTGTGATCTGGTCCGAGGATCCGCAATGCCAGGAGCTGCATGGTTGATGGTAAAGTCTGAAGCTTTTCTCTTCCTAAACCTCAAGTTGAACCAGAAACTGGCCAGTTCTTCAAGCATTTGCATCGGAAATTCCAGTACCGGCCTTTGCCGATTCTTACGAAACTTCCCGGTGGGGCTTGGATGCATCAGATGAACCATTCTTCATGCGATGTTCTTGAACACGCACCAAACGACCAAGACCAAGGAGACAGGTGGACGATGGATTTTAGAGATAGAGGAATATTATTTATTTATTTATTATTATCATCGTTCGGTTCACGGGTGGACGTTTTAACCGATAATTCGGGAGTTTGGAAGTAACGGCTTAAAAGTATTCGAATAAAGGATACCCGAATATTAATGATGATGAGGTCGAATATTAATAAAGTTAAGTTTTCGACTCCAAATGCGAGTGGGATCAATTATTTTACAAGCGGTATCCGGATTACCCGATATATTTATTAAAAATCTAAAATATATTTTATATTTATAATATTTTTGTATCTAAATTATTCTTATTATTTATTAAAATATTTTTATTTTAGTTCATTTTTTTTATCTTCTAAATCTTTTTATACAAAAATTCAACCATTCCAAATCTCATTCTATGCAACCGAATAAACCATTCATCTATCTCAAAATTTTACTTATTTCTCTTTATACTTTGACCTCTCTCATTCGTATTTTCTATATCTATCATTTTATAGTTTAAAATTTTATAAGTCGTATGAGTCTAAATAACCGCGAGTACAAGATCGAAAATTTTATTAAACCCGAACTACAAATACCCGGATTTTATAAAGTCATGACTGAGATAACATTTTTGTAAAACTCGTGATGATGGAAATGAGACAAAATTTTATAAAAATTGAGGGTATCCGACCCGTGTCCACCCACCATATTTTCTCCCCCAATGAGAGTGAACATGTATTTTATTTTGGAGAATCCAGATTTAATATTTATTTATTTATTTCTTTGTTTTTCTTGCATTGGGCCAAGTTTGAAAATACATGCATAAACTGGACCTCATGCCATTAAGGCCCACCCTTAAGTCCAATACATTAGAAATGTTGGGCTTTTTGGTATTTAGAAATTCAGAACGCAAAGCTAAAGCCCAAATTGGAAAGTCAAAAAGACCAAATTACTGTTATTATATAATATAGTAATAAACATTGGGTTGATTAAAGATATCAAGTGAGTTCTCGATCGGTCTCTTCTGCTTCTTTCATGTTCCTCTCTTGCTTTAGCCCAATTTTCTCAGATACCTTGCGTTGATAAAGGTAAAGGTGTGTTCTTGTAAAATTCAGAGTTCTTGGTTTTTATTCGTAGCCTGTAACGATTTCGTTCTTCTTTTTCCTTTTGCCGCTAAATTTTCACGTCTATGGAGATCCGTCATTTTTGTTGCAAATTTCTGATTGTTGTTTCTTTTTTTTGGTAAGATGTTTCTTCTCTTCAAATGGGTTTCGTCGTGTGGGTATTCTTTTGTTTGTTTGTACAGTTCTTGTTCTTGTTGGTGGTTTTGCTTTTTCTTTCTCTGCCATGTTTGGTTACTGGGAAAATACGAGTTAAACGCTGCTTTTTCGTTTATGTCGGATGACAAGAGTTGATATTTAGTTAAGCTTGTGAATCGTGCAATGGAGGAGTCTCTGGTTTAGTGGCGCCTAGCTGAGAATTTCAAGTCCAAACTTGATATAGAGGCGACAAATCTGGGAAGAAAAATATAGGGTTTATGGTCATAATGGATTTCTTGTCCTTTTGTGTAAACGATACTGCGTTTTGACCTATATGCTTTCCTGATCATATTCAGGTTATCCGGTTTCAGACATGTCTTATGTTCCTCCGCATAAGCGCCCTTCGAATGAGCCGGTCAGACCCTCTCCTGTTCCAGAATCCGTTTCAAGGAAGTTTACTAGAAATCTCAACTTGGATGGCCGCAATGACCAAGACAGAAAAGTAATATATGCAAAAGACTGCATCTCGAAGTGGTTTTTTGTTGGTTCAGATGGAACTGAAGACGAGATTTCTCCGTCTGTTCAGCTTGTGCCTGTTTCTTCAGACTCTTCTGAATGGAGAGCTGGAAGAAAGCCTTTGGTGCTGGTGAACAATGATGCGGGAGAAAAGGATGCAAAGTTTGGAGCAACCGAGGGCCGTACACCCTGGTTGTCTGTTGCAGAAAAGGTAGAGGGTGACATTTTCATGGCATTTGAGCTGGCTAAGAATGGTATGGATCATGGTTCATTGGTGGAAGTAAAACCCAGATTGGTTGCTCGGTTTGGAAAAGTTCTTCTCCATGGGCACCCATCACTTAGTTTGGAAAGTTTGAAAGATGGGCTAGTGGCTGAAAGCACTTTGAGGGAATCGAAGAAGTCATTTTATACAAATGTCCCAGCTTCTTACATGGAAAACATCAGGGACGCAGCTGTGCTGAAGTTGGGATGTTCTATCAAAGAGAACGATATATACTATGTGATGTTATCCGATGAAACACGTCCTGGTTCAACCATCTCTTGCAAATGCACTGTGAAGGAAGATAGAAGGCTCATTATGCACAGGGTCGGGTCGAGCTCAACGCTTTCAGGCATTGTGTTGCTGATGTCTCCTGCCTGAATCAGAATATAGACTTGAGACTCATGGTCTACTCCAAAAGAATACCGACTGCTCTCACTGAAAATGAGATTAGCGATATAAGAAAACTGGTTGATTCAGCGGTTGTAGATCCAAATGTGAAAGGTGGGTTGAGGTGGCCACTTGGGAAGGCTTCATCAGGGGACCGGTATACCGTCTATGGCGTTTGGCACGTTATAAATACTGTATACCGCAGTTCAACTTTCAGGCTCAAGGTTAGAGAGGTCGACCGATTTGATTTTGGGGCTGGAACTGGTGAGGCTGCAAGAGAGGTGATTCTGGTACTTAAAGGAATCAGCCAAAAGCTAGAGGAAGGTGGTGAGGTTGAGAGGAGCTCTGTTTCAGACATGCTGAAAGATGCTCTCAAGATTATATGGGATCACTTCTTGTCTGCTGATCCATATCTTATCTAAACTGTATCAAAGTTTGTCGGGTTTGCTCTTTTGTTTTGGGACATTAACTTTCAAGTTCTCCAGGATGTGAGTAGTTGAACTTGTGTGTTTTCCATGTTTTCATGTGTGAGATCTTTGTGGTCTTTTGAGAGAGAAAAAAAAAAGATTGAACACGACCATTATAGGTTTCGGGTGATTCTGCTTTTGAGCTTTTTACATTTCTGTGATCTGGTCCGAGGATCCACAATGCCAAGAGCTGCATGGTTGATGGTAAAGTCTGAAGCTTTTTCTCTTCCTAAACCTCGGTTGGCTTGAACCAGACAACTTGCCAGTTCTTGAAGCATTTGCATCAGAGAATCCAGTACCGGCCTTTGCCGATTCTTACGAAACTTCCCGGTGGGGATTTCACCATTTTCGACTGGATGCACCAGATGAACCATTCTCCATGCGAGGTTCTTGACACGCACCAAACGACCAAGACCAAGGAGACAGGTGGTAGATGGGTTTTAGAGAGAGAGAGAGGAAATATCATCATCATCATCATCATCAGGTTACCATATTTTCTCCCCCATTTGGGTAAACGCGTATTTTATTTTGGAGAATCCAGATTTAATCTTTATTTATTTATAACAATTTATCATTTCTTAGTTTTTCTTGCATTGTGGAATTACATGCATAAACTGGGCGTCATGCCATTATGGCCAGCTCTTAAGTCCAATACATTAGAAATGTTGGAAAGTCAAAAAGACCAAATTATTGTTATTATATAATATAAGATTAAGAATAAACATTGGGTTGACGTCTCTATCAGTCTCTTCCTTCCACTTCTTTCCTGTCTCTGTCTTACTTTAGCTCAATTTTCTCAGATACCTTGCTTTGATAAAGGTGGGTTCTTTCTTTCTTTTTTTAAAGGGTAAAGGTGTGTTCTTGTAAAATCCGGAGTTCTCTGTTTTTCTTGGTAGACCTTGCTTACTCGGTAAGGATCTCGTTCTTCTTTTTTCTTTGGCCGCTAAATTTCCATGTCTATAGAAATCCGTTATCTTTGTTGCGAATTTCTGATTGTTGTTTGTTTGTTTTGGTAAGATGTTTCTTCTCTCCAAATGGGTTTCGTCATGTGGGTGTTCTTTTGTTTGTTTGCAGAGTTGTTGTTCTTGTTCTTGTTCTTGTTCTTGTTGGTGGTTTTGCATTTCATGTCTCTGCCATGTTTGGTTACTGGGAAAATACGAGTTGCTTATTCATTTATGTCGGATGACAAGAGTTGATTTTTAGTTAAGCTTGTGAATCGTGCAATGGAGGAGGCTCTGGTTTAGTGGTGCCTATCTCCACTGCTCCTAGCTGAGAGTTTTACGTCCGAACCTGATATAGAGCCGACAAATCTGGGAAGAAAAATATAGGGTTTATGGTCATAATGGATTTCTTGTCCTTAGGCGTAAACGGTACTGCGTTTTGACCTATGTTTTCCTGATCATATATTCAGGTTATCCGGTTTCAGACATGTCTTATGTTCCTCCACATAAGCGTCCTTCGAATGAGCCGGTCAGACCCTCTCCTGTTCCGGAATCCGTTTCAAGGAAGTTTACTAGAAATCTCAACTTGGATGGTGGTCGCAATGACCAAGACAGAAAAGTAATAGTTGCAAGAGATTGGATCTCGAAGTGGCTTTTTGTCGGTTCAGATGGAACTGAAGACGAGATTTCTCCATCTGTTAAGCTTGTGCCTGTTTCTTCAGACTCTTATGAATGGAGAGCTGGAAGAAAGCCGTTGATGCTGGTGAACAATGATGCGGGAGACAAGGATGAAAAGATTGGAGCAACCGAGGGCCGTACACCCTGGTTGTCTGTAGCAGAAAAGGCAGTGGGTGACATTTTCATGGCATTTGAGCTGGCTAAGAATGGTAAGGGTCATGGTTCATTGGTGGAAGTAAAACCCAGATTGGTTGCTCGGTTTGGAAAAGTTCTTCTCCATGGGCACCCATCACTTAGTTTGGAAAGTTTGAAAGATGGGCTAGTGGCTGAAAGCACTTTGAGGGAATCAAAGAAGTCATTTTATACAAATGTCTCATCTTCTTACATGGAAAACATCAGGGACACAGCTCTGCTGAAGCTGGGATGTTCTATCAAAGAGAGTGATGTATACTTTGTGTTTTTATCCGCTGAAACACGTCCTTATTCATTCATCTCTTGCAAATGCACTGTGAAGGAAGATAGAAGGCTCACTCTGCGCAGGGTCGAGGTCGACGCTTTGAGGAATGGTGTTGTTGATGTCTCGTGCCTGGATCAGAATATAGACTTGAGACTCATGGTCTACTCCAAAAGAATACCGACTGCTCTCACTGAAAATGAGATTAGCGATATAAGAAAACTGGTTGATTCAGCGGTTGTAGATCCAAATGTGAAAGGTGGGTTGAGATGGCCACTTGGGGAGGCTTCATCAGGGGGCCGGTACAGCGTTTCTCACGTTTGGCACCTCACAAATACTGTATACCGCAGTTCAACTTTCAGGCTCAAGGTTAGAGAGGCCGACCGATTTGATTTTAGGGTTGGAACTGGTGAGGCTGCAAGAGAGGTGATTCTGGTACTTAAAGGAATCAGCCAAAAGCTAGAGGGAGATGATGAGGTTGAGAGGAGCTCTGTTTCAGACATGCTGAAAGATGCTCTCAAGATGATATGGGATCACTTCTTGTCTGCTGATCCATACCTTATGTAAACTGTATCGAAGTTTGTCGGGTTTGCTCTTCTGTTGCTCTCTTTTTTGGCTTTAACTTTCAAGATCTCCGGGATGAGTTCTTGAACTTGTGCTTTCTGTTTTCCGTATCGTGTTCATGTGTGGGAACTTTGTGGTCTTTTGAGAAAGCAAGTCGATTGTAAATAAGTTCAGAATTAGGATTGTTCTGAGATCTTAAAATCATTGAACACGACCAAGATATGCTTTGGGTGATTGTGCTTTGTACATTTCAGTGATCTGATCCGAGGATCAACAATTCCAAAAGATGGGTGATGGTAAGGTCTGAAGCTTTTCTCTTCCTAAACCTCAGTTGGCTTGAACCAGACATCTGGTTTGTGTTTCTCTCCGACTAAGGTAGTTGTCTGGCATTGGAATACAGTTGAGATGCTTAGGAAACTTGCCAGTTCTTCAAGCATCTGCATCGGAAATTCCAGTACCAGCCTTTGCCGATTCTTACGAAACTTCCCGGTGGGGCGGCTTTCACCTTTTTGGACTGGATGCATCAGATGAACCATACTCCATGCGATGTTCTTGACGCGCACCAAGCGACCAAGACAAAGGGAGGCATGTGGAAGATGGCTTTTAGAGAGAGAGAGAGAGAGGGGGGAGGGTAGTAGGGTGAATAAACCGTGAAGAAGAAGATTGTTGGATTGCGGAAGAAGTAACTGGCGAGAGGAAAAAGAAGAAGAATAATCTGTAGTTAGGGTTTTATGAAGAAGAGGGACGGATTGTGGAAGAAGGAAGCAGGAACTGGTGCAGGAACATAAAAAAAATTAGATCCATGTTGGCCCAATTTATAAACAACAAAGGTGCTCAGAGAGCCAAGATAAATTATTGGGGCTGTTATCGTAAACCTTATTTTTTAAGGGGTACTATGTGAAATATAGAAATTTCTTAAGGGCAAGGGTGTAATTCTGAAAGAGTGGCGGGTCTGCCCCTTCTTGATTCCAATCGATCGAGCAGTGTTGCCAATTTCTCTTCCCGAGTTTTTTTCCCGATCAAACATAAAAATGAAGAAGAGATATCAAAGAAATGAAGAGGAGGTAGATATAACGAAGAGCTCAACGTCCTCGAAGATGCAGAAGAAGAAGAAGAAGAACATGAAGAGATTAGGAGGCGGTGGTCTCTCTCTCGAAACATTCGCCAACTTGAAATCGTCGGACAGTCGCTACAATCCTTCTTTGATCAGTACGATTTTCTTCACTCGTTCGAATTTCGAATGGCTTTCTCTCTTTTTTTATATATATATTTTAATAAAACTTAATCCTTTGTCATCGAAATATAGATTCTCTGCTTTTGCAGTTTTGTTGGGTTTAAGATTTAAGAGTTAGGATCTAGGGTTTCTGCTGCAACGGGGTAGTTTGTTCGGGGGGTTGTACATCCTCGATTGCATAACTGGATTGGTTTCAATTGTCCAAACTTGTAAGCTGAATTTGTTCAGTACCTTCTAACACTGATGTTCCGAGCTTCATCTAAGCATAAGAATTTACTCAAATAGCTTGGAAATAAACTGTCTGATGTAAGCTAGTTGTCAATAGCAGATTATCGTCAGGGTTGGTGTAAGTGGGTAGACTAAAAAAATGATGGTTCACAGTGATTTTTTTGGCTGCTTAATGGGTTACAATCCTTCTTTGAAATGTATGTATTGTGACTTGTGCAAAGTAGGATGTTTTTATCAACTTTTTTTACATTCCTTTGGGCTATGAATGGTAGAGGAAAACTATTTTTGAGCTCTGTAAATGGTGAATCTTTTAGAACTTGAGGCTTTTCCCATTTTTGTTTCCGTTTTCTTTACCTTTACCGTGACTCTTGCGCTGTGCTGCATCCATTTCTAAGTCTTCCTGCTGCATATTTCCAGAGAAGCAAAAAGAATTCTACAAGAATGCCAAAGAGTCTTTGAGGTATGTCTAAGTTTAAGAAGTCATTAAAGCTGCAAAATCGGCAAAATGATCCTTCGTCTAGTCAAAGAGTCTTTGAGGTATGTCTAGGTTTATATTTGCAGGTAGAGAGCCAACTCTGCTTGTGTAATCAGATATGGGCATATATCTTTGTTCGTAACCAAGTCTACGTAAAGGCATCTAGAGATCCGGCCTTTTACCTATGTGATCGAGTACCATTACTTTTATCGACATGGGCGTACTAATGCGTATAGATTGTGTGTGTATGTTTGATGCAGGGCAACAACGAAGCTGGAGACAGTGGGGAGGTAGATGATGATGATGAAAAGAAGAGGAGATCGAAACAGAAAGTCAGTTTGGAGGAGCTGTACAGAAAGAAACACGAAGAGTTAGAGAGGGCGAGGATGGAGAGAGAATTGACGATACAGGCAAAGAAGGAAGCGAGAGAAAAGGCCGAAGCACGGAGGAAAGAAGCCAAGGAGAAGATGCTAAAGAAGACTCGACATGGTCAGCCTGTCATGAAATACAGGATAGAGCATCTTCTTGAATCAATCAAGAACACCTCTCAAAACCATGGAAACTGAAACAGAATAACTGCAGGAAGGAAGAGGATGCATTCTTAAGCAACTGGTGTGTACATTGAAGAACCTTTGCCTCCATTTGCATCCTCTTAAGAGCTATTACACTGTCGAAACAGTTATGGAGATGATAGTAGGATGACATTTTCAGACCAAAAGCTGTTCTTGTAACTATTTCCAAGTCACCATCAAAAGCTGTTCTGGTGATTGGATTAACTAAACTGTGATTGACTCGTTCGACTTAAATACGGTATATAAGGTTTTGGTGTTATGGACCACGGTTTTGGATTTAGAGTATAATCAGACAAAAACATAAACAATGGGCCGAGAGGAGAAGACAGTGGACTTTTATGGATCAGTAGGCGAAGAAGGAAGAGGTCAAAACCAGTGGTCGATTTCTTATCGTTAACTACACCTTCTTCCTCCTCTCCTTTACACAGCAACGTTTCATCGAATCTGATCAGCCGAATAAAAATGGCGTCCCTTTCATGTCCGTCTTCGTTGTCTCTCATCTCCTCCTCCCATCGTCTTCACTCTTCTCCGAAGCTCTTCTTCTCTCTTCCTTGTTACCGTCCGAGGAGACCCAATTTCCCAAATTTCTCCGTACGATGCTCCGTCTCCATCGAGAAGGAGGTTCCCGAGACCGAGCGTCCCTTCACCTTCCTCAGAGACTCTGACGACGCTTCTCAATCGTCTTCCTCTTCTTCTTCCGTTAGGGCCCGTTTCGAGACTATGATTAGGGCTGCTCAGGATAGTGTATGCGACGCCATTGAAGCCGTCGAAGGTGGTCCTAAGTTCAAAGAGGATGTCTGGTCCCGACCCGGCGGAGGCGGCGGAATCAGCCGTGTCTTGCAGGACGGCAATGTCTGGGAGAAGGCCGGAGTTAATGTCTCTGTGGTTTATGGTGTTATGCCTCCCGAAGCTTACAGAGCCGCCAAAGCCGCCCCTTCCGACCAGAAACCCGGTCCTATTCCCTTCTTCGCCGCCGGCATCAGCTCGGTAACTTCTCTGTTTCCCTGCTTCTTTAAGTTTCATTTCCATTTCTACTTGTTGATTGGGCTTGATCTCATCTTCCCGCATTTCCAGGTCTTGCATCCCAAGAACCCTTTTGCCCCGACTCTGCATTTCAATTACCGCTATTTCGAGACTGATGCTCCCAAGGGTAATCACGAATAAGCTGTTTCTGGGTTCCTTTTGTTTGCTCTCTGTGTATTCAAAGGTGTAAGCTTGATAGATATCGACTGCCATTTTCATGCCCAGATGTTCCTGGAGCTCCGAGGCAATGGTGGTTTGGCGGTGGGACTGATTTCACGCCTTCTTACATCTTCGAGGAGGATGTCAAGCACTTCCACTCGGTATTATTGGCATCTTTTATTTCTGGAGAAAGAGCATTGTGGTGTGATTATTGGAGTTGCTTGCTCATATGACTAGGTTTCTTTTATAGATCCAAAAACAAGCCTGCGACAAATTCGATCCTTCCTTCTACCCCCGGTTTAAGAAATGGTGTGATGACTACTTTTATATCAAGGTACTCGGTTACTTGTATGCATCTCTGGTATTGTTGTGATGTCTTGGCTCTTTGGAATGAAAGACCTTAGTTTCTGGATTCAGGTTTAGTTTAGGTATATTTTCATAATCTGATGATCTTTCGAAGGAGGTAGTCTGTAATCAAAGTTTTATGTGATGCTCGTGTGCAGCACCGTAACGAGAGACGGGGGCTTGGAGGGATATTTTTTGATGATCTCAATGACTACGATCAAGAGATGCTTCTGGCGTTTGCCACTGGTAATGGCCAATTCCTATAAGAACAAGGATCATCTGTAGGCTTTCGTCCTTGGAGATTATACGTTGCAGCTTAGTATGTATCCGGGGTTTTGCAGAATGTGCAAATTCAGTCATACCAGCTTATATACCCATAGTAGAGAAAAGGAAAGACACACCTTTTACAGAGCAGCACAAGGCATGGCAGCAGCTCCGAAGGGGAAGATACGTTGAATTCAACTTGGTATGTAATAATAGCTTTCCTCTTTCTTCAATTGCGTGTGGATCTTACCTTATCTGATGCATTTGTGGCAACTGGAACTGGAAGGTATATGATCGTGGAACGACATTTGGCCTGAAGACTGGAGGGAGAATCGAGAGCATTCTCGTCTCTCTTCCTCTGACAGCAAGATGGGAATATGACCATGTAATAAACCTTCCTGTTCATATATCCACATAAATCTGTGATCATTTCGACTGTAATTGAGATCTGGGTCATCTTTTTTATGGGGTTTCTCTCCTGTTTTTTTGCGTGCAGAAACCGGAAGAGGGGACAGAGGAGTGGAAGCTGTTGGATGCTTGTATCAACCCGAAGGAGTGGATCTAGGTCGTGTCTCTTGCGATCAACTGTACCTCGTACCGTGTTCGGTTTTTTCATCGTCGGTCCTGAGCGTTTTTTTAGAGTAGTCTTACTGAAGAGAGTCTGTGTAATGAAGGTGATGCCCTTGCACGTAAAATGCCGTCTGATGTTTCTTATAATAATAAGATTCATTTTATTTGTCTTTGGATTGTCGACGGGAAAAAAAAAGGTAACAGAAAGGCAAAAATGATGGAAACGAACTCTACGGTCTTCTCGTTCCGACTTTGCTAAGCTTTTTTCTTCTTTGAATCATTCAAACCCTAATTCTAAAAGGGACTAAGTAAGAAGAGAGCTAAGCAAATAGAGGAAACGACTGTGACGCCATGGAAGCAAGATCTGTGAAACAGAGGAAGAGAGCAAATGGGTTTCATGAACAGATCGAAGTGGATAGAATCAGTCATCTTCCCGACTCTCTTCTTCACCACATCCTTCTCTTTCTTCCTGTCAAAACCATTGCCCGAACCAGTGTTCTGTCAAAGAGATGGCGATCTCTGTGGCTCTCCTTGCCCGATCTCGACTTCACCTCCATTAATTCCCTCCATCCTTGCTCCCATGATCTCAGACCCACCTCCAGATCTTCGTTTTCTTCCAGCTCGATCCACCAGGTGCTTGCCCTTCGTCACAGAGATTCCGGTCTCAGAGCCCTTCGCTTACGGACTTCCATCACGTTTTCCCAGTTGAATGCATTGATCCGCTTAGCCATCACCCACCACATTCAAGAGCTTGATGTCGAAGTTGCCACTAACGATTACTTCAATTTCCCTCGTCGGGTTATCACCAGCCAGTGCCTTAGGGTTTTGAAGCTTAAATCATCGTATCCCGGGTTTAGGCTGCCTCCTTCGTCAGCCATCCTTGGAGGTTTTCATAAGCTTAAGACCCTTTTTCTGTCGCTAGTGATTCTTTACAACCAGCCTTTTCTCTTGGACTTTTTCACCGATCCAAGCTTTCCTCTTCTCGAGAAACTGAATCTCGAATATTGCTTCGGACTCAAGCAACTTAAGGTTAGCTGCAGCCAGCTCCAGGAATTGACATTAGAGAACTGTTTTCAGCTTGATGGCTTGGAGGTTTCTGGTAATAAACTCAAGAGACTGAAAGTGGGCAGTTGTTTCGACGCATATACTGAGGAGAGCTGGGCGAAGATCAATGCACCAAACCTGAGAAGTTTCCTCTGGGAATCAAATGCAGTCACTGCCGTGAACTTTTCAGACAACTCGGTTTTCTTGCAAGAAGCATCGGTTGTAGTGTTTATGCTTCATCAAGATGTTAAGTTTTCTCAGATCCACAGCTTGTTGGCTCTCTTGTCAGGACTCTCTCACACCAAAAGTCTTGAGCTTGGAAACCAATGCATAGAGGTAGTATATCTTCTCGATCTTTTTTTGTTTTGTTCTGTTTTGAAACATTGTACGGAAGAAAGAACCGATGATGCTAAACTCCGTGGCAGATTTTATCGAGCAAAAAGATTTCCACTCATCTTCAACCATTTCAGAACATGAGATCATTGGAGCTGCGAACATGTTTCAACAGACACAATGTTCATGCACTGGCATCTCTGTTCAAGAGCTGTCTGAAGCTAAAGACCCTTCTTCTCAACATTATCAATGAACCGAGGAGTGAAAGGAGGGTAAGTACCCTTGTGAACTAAAACCCTTTTTTTCACGATTGGTTTCGACGGATTTAACTGAGTTTTTCCATTTCAAGCAATGGAATAAGGACTTGTGGAACACGTCAACCTCGGAGGTCGAACAGTACTGGGAATCTCAGACGGAAGACTTGAACCCGTTCTTACAAAACATCAAAGTGGTAGAGATTGATGGATTCTTGGAATGCGAGAACGAAGTGAGCCTTGCCATGTTTCTTCTCAAACATGGAAAGGCTTTGAAACGGATGACTCTCCGGTCCGGATGCCTCTGTAGAGATTCTCTCCGGAGACAGATGATTAGATCACAGATGATGGGTTTTTCCAGGGCTTCTTCCTCAGCCAAAATCTCTTTCCATTGAAGTTGCAGCAAAATCTCTCCCCTCTCTCTCCCCCTCTCCCTCATTTAGCAGAAGTTTCCCTTCTTTTCCCTTTTTTTTGTGCAAACTTTCTATTATGAAATAAAGAAAGAACCATTACGGTCCATTTTAACAGATAGCCCATAATTACGGTCCAGGTTAAGCCCATTACGGGCCCATAACGGTTAGAGGCGGTCATCCTCGTAAAGGATCCGGTTTAATACCGACAAGCCGGTTCCGGTTCACAAGAATTTGTGGGAACCGGGACTTATTCTCACATGTGAAAATCAAAACCGTTGACCGCATTCAGATACGTGTGTGGTACAATTTGTTTCAACAAGACTTCGTTAGGGTTAAGCGAGGCTTCACCTCAAAGTCTTTCGTTGAACAAAATTTCATCCTTTTTGAGCTGATTTCGGTGGTTCTCCTCTGAATCTCCGAAAATTCAATCTGGCTCTGCGCTCTGGTAAATTCCTTTCCCCTCTCTTTCCTTCCCTTTCTTCCGATTTTTTTGGTCGGTGATTCTGTTTGTGGCGTTTGTTTCTTGCGAGAGTTTACGTGAGAGCATCTTGTTCCTCGATTCGTGTTTCGGTTTTGTGTTGTATGTGCCGTCTGAATGCATCGCTTCCGTGTGTGTGGTTTTTGGTTTCTCGAGCTGTGGCTGTGGCTGTGGCGTCTTAGTCCCTTGTTTGGTGTCTGATTAGATTTTGTCTGGAAAACATGCTCGTTTGCCTCTGGTTTTTCTACAATTTGTATATGTTTATATGAATTTAAGCGCCGTTTACCGTGAAAGGAACTAGATAATCAAAATTGTTTTGTCTAATCCAATGCTCGAGGTTAAGACGCTTTTGCCTGTTACTTCCATACCATCAGGTTGAGCAGCTTGTTTATATGTGGGAGACTGGGTTTTCTTAAGCCAAAGCAATTCTTCTTCACTCTGGCCGCTACTGCAAAGTCTCACCCTTCTCGCACCTCTAAGAGGGTGTGGGGTGGTCTTGAGGTGGTGACTTCACTCTGCCTTCCTAGCAAATCTGTGTCATCAACAATTTGGAGACTCCGTCGTGTTTCGGTGGGTCTGTCCCTTGATTACGGCTAAGGCGGTCACAGCATAAACCTTTAACCTGGAAGGAAGCTTCTGTTCTTGCAAGCATTAAACTGGATTTTTTTGTTTCTATTTCGTGGATGTTATCTAGAGGAAGCACCGTTCAGGTGTAGTTTTTCTTTTCAATCTTCTTTCCTGTTCAGTTGGCCCCTGTTCTGGGATGTAGGGGCTGTTGTTAAATGTGACAAAATGGTCAGATTTTCGTGCTTCAATACACATGTCCATCGCAATCGATCCAAGGTGAGTAGAAGCATTCCTGGTTCTTGTGGCTTAAGACTTTCGTCATCTTGCATTCTCTTACATGGTCCTCCTTTGTCCTTTGAAATACTGTTAATATGTATTTCTGTTTTGGTAATGTAGAAAACCTTGGTGGATTCCTCAGATCGAGTCAAAGAAGATGGATTTACTTCTAAAAGCTTGAGCTCTGTCATACACGGGAGAAGCAATGGTTCTGTTAATGAAAATGGCAAGTCCTTGGGTTCCACAGCTCTTGAACGCAGCTGGAAGTCTGAGGAAATTAAAGCCAACGTCAATCTTAAGCATGATACTGAAAGACATCAGGTAAGGCCGCTCAAGAAAAGTCAGTCTCATGGAGATGTATTATACTTGGATGGGAGGGATGCCACAGAGAATGGCACCGATGATGGGATAGACCAAATGACATCTCCAGATTCTGTTGAACCAAACGGTTTTGTAGCACCTGGCAGTAGCAAGCTTATAGAAGGAAGTCCTTCGAGTCTGTATCAGAAAGCTCCTCTAAATTCAGATCAAGCCTTCAATGGATCGATTTTCTCTGTTGGAGATCCTCATCATGCTGATAGAGACAGTCGTCAGTTGGAAGATTCATCTTTCTCTGGTGAACGAGCTGAAGATTCGAAGAGCCATACTCCTCGTACTTCACCAGTGATGGTGAGATCGAGTTCAATGCCTAATGTTGCCGACCCTGGGCATGCATCAGGAAGATCTTCTCCTCTCAAATATTCCTCTGACCGCGTTAGATCTTGCGATGACTTACGTGTCCTAGACATGCAGCAGAGGGAGAAATCAGTCCTTGAGACTGATACAGAGGTGAAGCTAGAGCAAGGTCAGGATCATGGTATGCATAAATCCGGAGGTAACAATGTGGAAAACGTCATCGATGATGGCTATGATGCATATGGTTATTCTTCCTCGGCGAAAGATTGGATAGTACCAGTTACAGATGAGCCGAAATTCAGAGAAATCCTTCAGGGAGAATCATCGAATCGGCAACTAGAATTTCCTAGCAAGGATTTTAAAATCAAGCGCATAGAGGAATGGGTTAATGACCTCCAACATGTCAGCTTTCCTGATGAAGCTGATGGATCAGAATCACCAGAATATGATGATGCGACACCTAAGGAACCCATTGTCTTGAGTGGGTCAACTGCTGCTAAGGTAGATATCAAGTTAACTCCTGGAATGGAAGCTGCGAAGAAGTATATATCTTCTTTAAGCGCTTCTTCTACCACAGCACAGCTGGTTAATCATGGCCTGGTTGTCATACCATTTCTCAGCGCATTTACTGGTCTGAGAGCACTTAATCTATCAGGAAATGCAATAGGTTGTACTCTTTTCACTCTCTCTCTCTCTCTCTCTGTGCTTCTGTACTCTGTTCGTTTTTTGTTTTTCTTAACCTGCTACTAATACTATAACTGGCTTTCACACTCACCACCGCAGTTAGGATAACGGCGGGTGCTCTTCCTCGGGGACTTCATTTGCTGAATTTGTCCAAAAACAGTATATCAACTATCGAGGGCCTACGTGAGCTCACACGGCTTCGCGTACTAGACCTGAGCTACAACCGAATACTGAGGATTGGTCATGGTATTACTTGCATTACTCATCCATTCTTCTCTAGTTATCCTGCGTAGTGTCTGAAGAGTATTTCACTTTTCTGTATCGAACATAGGTCTGGCATCTTGTTCATCTCTGAAGGAACTATACCTAGCCGGGAACAAAATCAGTGAAGTAGAAGGTCTTCATCGTCTCTTAAAACTGACCGTGTTGGATTTGCGCTTCAACAAGATATCGACGGCCAAATGTCTAGGCCAGCTCGCTGCTAACTACAATTCACTCCAGGCCATAAGCTTGGAAGGTAACCCTGCCCAGAAGAACGTGGGAGACGACCAACTCAAAAAGTACCTAATGGGGCTCCTCCCAAACTTGGCATACTTCAACAGGCACGCCATCAAGGATGCATCGGACCGCCGGCTTGGAGTGAGCACCCACCAGCTAGAGCGAGCCCACAGGTCAGAGCTCAAGAACAGTAGCCGGAAGAGTAGCCTCGGTGCAGCCAACGCCCATAAGACCTCAGCATCAGCGACAGCCCGGAGGGGTCAGGCTGGGGCGTCCCAGAAGAGGTCCAAGGACAGAAGCAGCCGTCTTCCGCCGGCCGGACAGAAAGGGTCCGCAGCTGTTGCGTATGAGAATCGTTTCGCAGCGATTGACAGTAGACTGTCGAGCCTGAAATCGGAATTCTCTATGAGAAGGAGCCGAAGTGAAGGGACTCTGGGAGCCTTCTGAGGGCCGTTTCATGTGAAATCTGGCGGTGAGAACCCTTTCTTTTCTATGTCCGACGAGTTCATGTTGTTTTTTTGTCTGTCCCAAACATTTTAGAAGCTTTTGTTTGCTTCTCAAATAATAATGTCTGAAACCGTGTTTGATTCTTTTTGGTAATAGTTGAATGCTGCGTCCATTGATAAACCAAAAAAGTAGTGTGGTCTGACGTGGTCCACTGTATCGCTGGCTCTGACTCAGACTCTGACTCGGCCATTGTGGGTTGTCTGTGGGCCTAGTCGAGTCAGGCCCATTTGGACTCTCATGGAGTTGTTGGGCTCATACAATTGAACAATACAAAAAAACAATGACCATATCGTCTACCTGCTCCCATCAGTCCTCATACATACATACATACATACATACATACATACATACATACATACATACATACATACATACATACATACATACATACATACTCTCTCTCTCTCAACTGGGTTCGACCAGAAGTGCGAGGACACAACACAGTTCGTTAGGAAGGAGAGGGGAATGAGAATTACTTGCCAGGCGACGAGCATTCCAGCTGACGACAGAAACCGAGGATCTCGGGTACAACGATCAAGGCAGAGTCGTTAGTCGTCCAATGAATGTTACTTGAAATTACTATGACGTTTTAAGGTATTTTTATACGGTAATATTAGCATTATATACTCGTAATCATTGTTCTCTTGTCCATACATTGTCTTCTTGTTGTAGAAAACCTTCAATCATGTCTATTACGAGTCTCAGAGACATAAGCAAGAGATGAAGCTGATGATAACACTACTAAAGAGTGCTACAGTATAGTTGAACTCACTACAAATTCACAATCACAAACATCTCGGTCAAGATAAAGCCTCAGACAAATCCTTTTATCTTCAGAGAATTGCAGCTTCTGCCAAGTAGGTTCTCCCTGAAGACAGGGTCTTGGCTCCACTGCACCTCGACAAGTTGGATTAGATCCTCATTGGCATCACCATTAAATATAATTGAATTTTCACTCACAATAATTCCATAAGAAATATTAGAGGCTCAGATTTATATTACAGCTTCATCTATCAAGAATTTTCAGAAGCAGAACTGGCGTTAAAGCTGTTGAATTATTCATCACTGCCACTTGCAAACGCAATAATATAACACAAGAGACAGGAAACTTATGTAACAGAAGATGAAAAGAACTCGGATGTTTGGCTCATATCAAGAAATTCAACCATTGTTTTCCGGATATGCTTCATCGAATGGTCTCAGAAGCGCGGATAAATCGTGTAATCATAGCCGAAATTCTCCGATTTTCCCTGATACCATCAAAACCCATGAACCAAAAACCATCAAATTTCCAAGGTGTAGCCGTTACTTTGACACAGCTAAGCCGGAGAAAAAGAAAAGGCAAAACTGCAACACGAACGGCGGTCGATTTAGCAGGAGCTTTGGGGCACTCTTCCTCAAATTTGCAATTCAGAGAAGCCCGGGAGGCTCCTGCATGCATCGAAACAAAAAAAACCCTAAAACCGAAAGAAAACGATTCCAATTGAATCTGACGGAGGGGAGAAAACGACAGGAGATGAAGACACGGAAAAAACTCTGGCACTATGGTTCCATATATAGAGCCGCTTCTGGTAAAGAGATGAACGAAACCCTAGTTCCAACCACTATTGCGTCAAAATTCCGAGCTTCTGATTGATAGAGCCCATCTACGCCTATAGAAGGGACCTTTTCATTGTGGGTTCAATCCTTTTAATGGGCCTATAATCGATAATGGGCCTATGTCCTGAAATAGGCCTTTAACACTTAAATGGGCCCAACTATCGTGAAGGCCGATGACCTTTTCATTACTGGGGAAAATTAATGTGCTTTGAAGTTTGAACTATGAAGTTAACTGTACACACATTGAAATACATACACTATCCAATCCTGTATTTTATCGTTTGTAAGCGCCGAGAGAATTTGGTAATGTAAATAACCTATGCGCATACAAAATGACTCCTGATTAAACTAAGATAATATGGTTACTTTCTCATAGAATTTACTTGGCTCTAAAGGATATTCAAGAATCACAATCTTGATTGCAAACAACTTCATGGATGCGTATTAATCTTGAAACATGTACCAACTACTACCAGGTGCTAACTTCACTCCTCTTTCCTTCATTTCCCTTCTAAGTCTCAGCGCTTCTTCTTGCCTTCCTATGCTCATATATATCTTCCCCAATAGCACATAGTTGGCCGGATTCTCGGGTTCTATCTCAAACAGTTCTCTCGCTGCAATTTCCGCAAGCTCAACCTCGTCATAGATAGAACAAGCCCCGAGCAATGCACCCCAAGTTTTGGCCGTTGGCTTCTCGGGCATCGATTCTATCACTTTGTGGGCCTCTTCTAACCGGCCTGCTCGGCTCAGACCATCCACCAGACACGAGTAATGGTCTCTGCTCGGGCGCAAACCATATTCCTCTTGCATTCTCCGGAAGTAAACCAGCGCTTCATCTGCAAGCCCTGCGTGACTGCAAGCCTTAAGCACTGCCAGAAACGTGATGTCATCGGGGGTTACTTTGGTCGATTCCATTTCTCGAAATGTTTTCAGGGCGGCCTCGGCATCCCCGTGAAGTGCGTATGCTGATATCAAACTGCTCCAAGCGATCACGTCCTTCTCAGACATGCTCTGAAACACGGAATCCGCATAGAGAACGCATCCACTCCGCCCATAGGCCTCCACTAACCCGCTTCTCAATTGAAGGTGCGTCTCTATTTGATTCCTAAAGGCGTAAGAATGAATCTCCTTTATCAAGCCAAATGCACCAATGCCAGAACAAGCGGGTAAAAGGGCAAGAAGGGTAATCAAATTCGGCCTAAATCTAAAGTTTACCATTTTCCGGTAGAACTCGATTGCCTTGTATGACCCATCTTCCATACCGGCCAAACCAAGTATGATAGCATTGAAAGACGACTCAGTTGGCATAACATCCATAGCTCCGAACAACTCCATCGCCTCACGGATCTTCCCGCAGTGCGTGTAGTGAGAAATCATAGCATTCCACACAACCGCATTTCGCTGAGGAATTTCGTCAAACAGTTTTCTAGCGCAGGAAAGGGACAAGCATTTACCGTACACGTCCACAAGCGCGCATCCGACAAAAGGGTTGGCAAGAAAAGCCGATTTGACGGCGTGGGCATGGACGGAGACACCGAGAACAGGATGTCCAACGGTGGCGCACGACTTGAGGACGAGAGAGAAGACGAAAGCATCGAGAGGAAGACCGGAAGAACGCATCTGGCGGAAGAGAGCGAGAGCTTGAACATGGTGACCTTGATTCACGTAAGAGGTTAACTGTTTAGTCAGAGAGATCAATCTGGAGTAGTTCGACGCGTACGAGGAGGACATGAGATCCGGCCGACAAGAAACTCCGGCACAACGTTTCTTTATGACCGAAATAGATGATAATGATTTGTGATGTAAATCTAAACTTAATACTGAACAAACAAGTCGTTGTAGTATAGTGGTGAGTATTCCCGCCTGTCACGCGGGTGACCCGGGTTCGATCCCCGGCAACGGCGCTAATTTTTTTATTGCGTTTTATTATCAGAACCCAAATATATATTGAGCTGGTTTATTATTTTGTGGGGGGTTACGAAATGCTACATTGTAATTGTATTGCTCTTGTTTTCATACACCCAAAGCCAAGAACATGATGAGCAATGCCATTCTGCACGAGAAAATTACAGAGCTTTGATTCTTGTTCTGCCGTTCTTTGTCCTTCTGTGACTCATTCTCCTACCACTGCAGTTGACACACTGATCGTTTATGTACTGTTTATGTTTATCATCAAAAGAAGAAGAAGAAAAAATAACTTCCAAAACCTGTGATCTATGAGTTGCAACACAACAATGTACATTCGCCTTGCAAGCTACCAACTCAAGAACACTGTTTTCTCCTGAACTCCTCAGATAACAATGTCTGAACAAGCTCCTGCAGCCTCTCGGCACCAGCACCCGGCCTGAACACCGAGTCATTGCCACGAACCGAGCAAGGATCAGACCCGTTTTCCAGACTCCCAACGCACCATGCCCCCGGAGAAAACCGATGTGTCCGTCCCAGCAGCTCTTTGTCAATCTTGTCCAGAACAGGGCTGTCTTTGTGGAACTTGCGTGCGAATGGGGCCTTGCTCTTGACCATCTTTTCATAATCTTTCATTGACAACGAGATTGGGTGTTGCTTTGGAGGATTGTCCCAAGCAATGTAGTGAAGGTCGTGCCCGATCGCAGTGCCACGGAACTTCCCAGTGTTGCAGATGACCGTGTGGAAGTACCCTTCGGGGGAGGACACAAAGTTCGTGTAGTACATTAAGACGGTTCTCGGGAAATTATCCCACCCCCAGATGCAGTATTCAAGAAAGGACCTTGTCAGCAGCACCCAGGCCGAACCTGCAGACAAGAAATGAATCATGTTTGATTTTGGTCTGTTACTACAGGACCCATGTAAGTAACCAGTACCTAGAGTCGATGCTTCATCTGTCTATGGTTTTAGCTTCTAATCGGGTTTTGTATTTGTATCCGGTTAGGCTCATTGTGTTTCTTGGTGTGGCATGTTAAGCTTAAAACTTAATGGACATTTATCAGAAATCAGATGAAAACATGGAAACATTAGTTGATGATGGTAACCTGTGAACAGCTTGAAAGATGTGGGAAGTGATCGGCGTTGAGTAGTCCAAGCAAGATCGGATTTCTTGGACAGGTAAAGGCCCGGATCGACGATTATGGATCTGCCCCTCTGGTTCCTGCAAAAAGATCGGGAATATATGAAACAAATCCCCACAGTGAGTAGACGGGAAGAAACCTTCCTAATATGGTACTGACAGCATTAGGTGGCTTTGCTTACAGTTTCCACCCGGTCAGGCGCATGTGTTCAATGAAATTGAGATCCCGAGACAAATTTGAAAAGACATGGAGCAAATCTGCAGTGTTAGAAGGAAAGCCACTGCTTATATAAGCCATCTCGGATGAAAAACACTGAAATTATCGAGATATAAGATGCCCAAAGAAAGAAGAAAGACTACAACAAGAACAAAACACGAATCCAAGGCAAAGTCCAGCAAAAGAACAGCACAGGAAAGCTATGCGATGCAATGAGACAGACGAGGTTACTAACCATCTTGTGTCACGAGAGGATAGTCCGAGGCACTGAGATTGAGGAACCAATCCCACTCCAAGCTCTCTTTCAACAGAATCGAAATGGCCTGAAGTGTGGAAGCAATCATCGTAGGGCCTTTATACGTAACCAAGTTAGACTGAGCCATTACACGAACGTTCTCCACTTCACGGAAAGTCGGATCACTCTTCACAGACATGGCCAGTTCTAGCCGTTCTCGAGGTGGAGCCTCGAGATCTAAATGCAGAATATACTGATTTCTCGGATGGTACACTGCCTGCAAAGTCCTCATCATCCTCTGGCTGTCCCCTTTTGTCCCCGAAATCAGATATGCTAACCTAGGTGGTTCAGAATTAGATTTCTTCCTCGTAGAGTTCAAAGACTGTCTGAAATCAGATTCTACAAAGTATTCATTGGATTCTTCTGAGCTTGAAACCGGAACAACATCCAATGGCAGCTGATCTTCCCCATAAGACCCATCGAATCGGCCGAAAATGAATGACATTAACAGAGTCATCGACATCACCAAGCTTGCCAAGAATGGAACCATCCATTTTCTGTCAGTGGAACCTCTAAACCCTGAGTGTGAACTAACATGTCTCTTCACCAGCTTCCTATACAGTTTTCTCATTCCCTATCCAATGAAGAACACGATTCAGACAGGCGATCAAAATCGTTCCCGAGCACCTAAACGGCTCGAAAGCCCGAATCTTGTTACAAATGGATACATAAGATTCATGAAACTGGTGCAAAGGTTGTTCGAGTTACCAGAATTCCAGACACCCGAGTCTCAAGAGGCGAAAAGGAAGCGACCCAACAAAAATTTGCAGCAGAAGTTCTTGAGGTATGTCCGAAATTGGCAAATTCAATGAAAATGACGAAACCCAATAGCTAAACAATAGAAGAAGGGTTAAAGATGATAAGAACATCAACTACCAAATGCACCAACCGAAAAAAAAAAGGAAGAGGCTTTTTGGCAAGCAGCTGACAAAAGAAGAAAGCTTGTTTAGTGCTAAGATGAGTCAGATCTAAATCGCTAATCAAGCAGGAAAAAAACCCCAGACCGCTGGCGAAGAAGACGCTTGGAGTCTAAGTCTCGTACCCTTCAAAACAAACAAAGACACTTCGGTAGAAAAAGACAGGTGCTGCAAGAGAAATTAGGGCATCAGAAACAGAATAAGGATTTAAACAAATCCCCACAACTTTGCAGACAAAACAAAGAAGTGAGTGTGAGAGAGAGAGAGATTCAAAGGTGTTGGAAGAAGGAATTAAGAGGAGAAAAGAAATGCCTTTGGATTCAGAGCTGTCTGTAAGAGGAATAGGAAACCGACGCTGAGAGAGAGACTAAGGGAGACGAAGAAATAACAATTAAATGTATAAACCAGACACTTGTGTCAAGCCTTAACTTCAAATGTCGGCAAAATCAAATTCTAAATTAACGATCATGTTTTCATTTTTTGGGTTTAGAATAAGTTGAATTCCACCTAAAATAAAAGGGTAGAAACTCAACTCACCACCACAACGAAGCGACAAGAAGGAGAATGTCCGTACGACCGGAGGGGGATGTGTAGTCCACGCGCGAGTTTGAGCTGGGAACTAACCCGAGTAATCGGAGTGAAAAGATCTCATGAAGGGAGTTGAACTGAGAAGTGAAAAATAAAATCTTACGAGCCGAGTTAATCGTCCTGTCCGAAACCACTGGAACCACGCGATGATGGACACGTGGCAGGATCTAATGCACGTTTAGGATTCTCCGTTACAGGAAAAGATAGTCAGAAATGACTGTGAGTCGCAAAATTAATTGCGAGAGATATGACCGTTTTTTTTTTTTTTTGCATTCAAATGGATCAACAGTTAGATAACAAGAACATTTGAAGAAACACGTAGTTCGAGTCAAACAGGCAAAGCAGTTTGTATTTGTGACAATTTTGTACAGATGGGTGATTGATTTAGTTGCTGTTTACAATCAGCAATAAGAGAGTAGTGATGGAGAAAAACTGTAATAAGAGTTCGTAGTTATGTCTGAGACAGAGAATGAAATCGATTACAGAAAACAGTGTTTGGATACAGAAAACAGTGTTTCACCCAGACTGATGATGATGCCTCCCTCCTCTGCCACGTCCAAACCGACCTCCTCCACGTTGAGGTGGCTTCCTTCCCTGCTGCATTGAAGAGCCTCCCAGCTGAAATCCATGAGAATGCGGCCTCTGCTGCTGTGGCTGTGGCTGAAAGCCTGGAGAAAGGAATGGATTCAAGAGGGGTTGAGCTTGTGCTGCACTTTGGAACGTCCCCTGAAAACCGCCCGGCTGGCAATTGAGACCTATCCCAAAAGCTTGGTTGAGAAGGTTCTGACTTAGCCATGGCCCTGAACCTGGTGGCCCTGCAAACAAGTTTAAGCCCCCTTGCCCACCTTGACCAACCATGTTCGGGATTGTCATCTGCCCAGAACTCAGTTGCTGCTGCTGGAAAATCATTTGGCTCGACGTAGGAATTTGATTTTGCATTGGGATCAAGGGCATCTGATGCATCTGGACTAGATTCGGCATCGCCATCTGGTTAGGTAATGGAGGCTGATACTGATTCTGCTGATTAGCCTGGGAGTTCCAGGCTGAACCCTTTGGGAGAAACCCGGGTGGAGCCATGGTTCTATTTCCCAAGTTATCCATGGCAAACCCTCCCATCTGTGGCTGTGGCTGTGGCTGAAGGTGAGGAGCTAAGTTGCCCATTCCAGCACCATTTAGTGCAACCATAGAAGAGATCGGAGAGTCAGAATGATTAAAGGACAGCATATTAGGCATGACAGTCTGCTGCATAGGCTGGTTCTCCATTTGATGAGGCGAGTATCTGTTCATGTGCCTTCCCGGATCCCGATTTTTCTTCTTCTTGCTGGTCTTGGTGTTACCGGGTTTCTGTTCATTCATCCCTCTCTTTACCATCTTCTGCATTCTTCTGTACTCAGCTTCTTTCTCATCATCCGAGAACTCAACCTCCTCTGGCATCTCCTCATCATTCTCACCAGATGCATCATAGCCTTTCTTGTACAGGTTCTTGTCGTTGAGAACATGATTTGCAAACTCAGCAACAAACGAGACTGGAGTTCCCTGATTAATCCCTTCAGGCACTTCGCTCTCTGAATTGAATCTCACAATGTAGTAAGGATTCTTAACTGGTCCAAAGATCTCATCCACCATACCCAGTGGGGCTTTCCTTCCAGTTATCCAAAGAATAGAACCTTCGCTTAGCGGATTATGCTTTTCCACGCCCTCAACTATGACTTGTGTGCCTAAAACCTACGATATCACCAATCAAAGGATAGCCGAAACATCAAGCAGAGAAGCGCTTAGACAAATTTTTTCATCAAGTTCAACTTACCGAAAGAACAACTCCAACAGGCAGCATAGCATGATGCGGTTCCAGAGTAGCATTCACAGCTGGTACTGGGGGAAGTTCCTGAAGTAGTTAATTGGAAAAACAAAAACAAAAATCAACCATATACTCCATGATAAGCCTCTCAATTGAACCATAGGGTAGTAAACATTTCTGTTCTGTTGCTTAGATGAGAACTGCCCAAAGGGATGCATCTTACTTCCAAGCAAATGAAATTGGGCAATGGAGTGAACTATTCTCCAAAATATCCCCAAGTAAGAAACATGAAGTGAAATAAGAAGAAAATTGCAAATAGAGTGCAGAATTACCATGAGCTCATTCTTTGACCGTATGGGTTGTTTTGTCTGTGTACCAAGGATTTCTTCATCCTCATCATCACTCCAAGCAGTCATGGCATTCGCATCATCATTCCCACCTTCAACATCGTCATCATCGTCATCATCATCATCATCATCCATCTCACCATCATCCTCTTCTCCATCTACACTCTTTATCTCACCTTCTTCGAGTTCACCACCAGCCACATCGACCTCTTTTCTCAAGATTATCCTTGCTTCAGGATCTCCTTTCTTCTTCTCCTCGTCGCCGTCGCTCTCCTCTTCACAGCTGCTGCTGGTACTACTCTTGCTGCTGCTCGAGGAAGAGCTCGAGGCTTCAATCTCAGACTCAGAAGAATTGGTTTCATTCTTAGCCTCGTCACTCTTCTGATCATCATCCACAGCCAAGCTAACCTTCTCAAACCCTTCTTCAATAGAACATGCCAAGCCCTCCTCTGTTTTATCCAACTTAGCTTCATCCACATTCACAGTGGGTGAAGCAACAGGCACAGATTCAATAATCTCAAACTCATTAAACACAACTAGACCTTGCCCATCTTCCCTCGCCCTAGACTCATCGGGAATAACCGATGCAGAGCTCACTGCGATTCCCTCAGAAGTATCACCCGAAAGTAGTTCAGACTTCATTTCAATCGATTCAGACAAAACCGAATTCTGGTTGTCCACACAAGTTTCTTTGCCATCCCCTTCTTCAACCATCTCCATTCCGTCCTCGAAAAATTCAAACTCGTTATCCTCTAATCCGAACTTGTCTAATTCCAGATTACTCCCCAACCAGTTAATGGAATCAAAGTCCAGGAACGAATCGGCGAAGGACAAATCAAGAGGGTCCTTGAAAGATTTTACCTTGGGATCCTGATCGATCTCCTCTGCTCGCTCTTCTTCGACGGTTTTGACGGCTTTAGAAGGAAACCCCACCATGGCCCAAGAGGGAAACGAGATCGCTAAGAGGAAACAACGAAGGAAAGCGAAAGAACATGACTTCTGCAGATTAATGGCGGCGACGAACTTATATAGGAATTGCTTGGAACAAGCGCGAGGGTTCGGTGACGCGTTGGGGTTTAACGACAGACCGAAATGTTGCTGAACATTAGGGTTTTAGCCTGACCATATATATATATATATATATATATATATTACAAAGTACATATTTTTTTAATATATCCTGGACAACATAACCCAAAAGTTAACATTTTTAATTCAAATTTTACATTTTTTTTTTACTTTTTTTTTTCTTTTCCACTTACATTTTTTTTCTTAAAGTTTATATTTTTTTTTACTCAAATATTGCTGCTTTGTGTATTTTTGGGAAATTTTTTCATTGGTTCATTGAAGTACTCGGCGCCGGAGTGATGTTGAACGGTGTTTGTGGCGTTTCCGATGAATCTAGTTGTAAAGCGCCATTACAGCAATCTCATTCTCAAACCGCACTCTTCTCCGACCAAACAAGCCCGGATCTTGGAGTTCTGCAAATCGGGCTTACTCACCGAAGCAATTCGTGTCCTAAACTCAACAGACTCAAACGAGATCTCTCCGAAGCCGAACCTCTACGCATCTCTCCTGCAAACTTGCACCAAAGTATCCTCCTTTGGCCACGGCCTCCAAATCCATGCCCATGTTGTCAAATCGGGTCTGGAAACCGACCGATTCGTCGGGAACAGCTTGCTCGCGTTGTACTTCAAGCTGGGACCGGATTCTACAGATACACGGAGAGTTTTCGACGGGATGTTCTTCAAAGACGCGATCTCGTGGTCTTCGATGGTGTCTAGGTACGTCAAGTGCGGAGAACACGCGAAGGCGCTTGAGACGTTCGTGGAAATGTTGGATTTTGGGTTGGAGCCGAACGCGTACACGTTGTCGTCGGCGGTCGTGGCTTGCTCGGAGACCGGAGATGTCAGGCTAGGGAGGTGCTTCCATGGCATCGTCGTGACACGTGGGTTCGAATGGAACCATGTTATCTCTAGCTCATTGGCGGTAATGTACGGAGGGAACGGAGAACCGAGAGACGCGAGACGGGTGTTCGACGAAATGCCTGAACCAGATGCAATATGTTGGACGTCTGTCGTATCGTCGTATACGAAGAACGATATGTACGAGGAAGCTGTGGAGTTTTTTTACGTGATGCATAGGAGAAAAGGGTTGGCGCCTGATGGGTATACCTTTGGGACATTGTTGATGGCATGTGGTAATCTCGGGAGGATAAGACAAGGGAGAGAGATTCATGGGAAGGTTACAACATCTGGGATGTTGTGTGGAAACGTTGTGGTCCAGAGTAGTCTTCTTGATATGTACGGTAAATGCGGATTTGTTAAGGAAGCTAGGCGGGTTTTCGATGGGATGTCGGAGAAGAATTCGGTTTCTTGGTCGGCTTTACTCGGGGGATATTGTCAGAATGGAGAGCACAGAATGGTTATTGAGATGTTCCGTGAAATGGAAGAGAAGGATCTCTACTGTTTCGGGACTGTTCTTCGGGCCTGCGCTGGTTTAGCGGCCGTAAGACATGGGAAAGAGGTTCACTGCCAGTACATTAGAAGAGGCGGGTATAAGAATGTGATCGTGGAGTCGGCTTTGGTCGACGTGTATGCCAAATCCGGTTGCGATGATTTCGCTCTCCGTGTGTTCTCAAAGATGTCGGTGAGGAACCTGATCACTTGGAACACAATGCTAGATGGGTTGTCCAAAAACGGGAGAGGTGAAGAAGCGGTTATGTTCTTCGAGGTGATGGTTAAGGAGGGGATAGAACCCGACTACATCAGCTTCGTCGGGGTTCTTTCTGCATGTAAACACACGGGTTTAGTGGAGGAGGGACGGAAATACTTTGCGTTAATGGCTGACAAGTACAGGATCAAACCGACTGCTGAGATTTACGGTTGCATGATTGACATTCTAGGACGAGCTGGCTTGTTCGAGGAAGCAGAGGATATGTTAGAGAAATCGGAAGA